TCCCCTCCCCTCCTCCCCTTCCCCCCCTCCTTCCCTCCCCCTCCCCTCCTCCCCTCCCCTCCCCTCCTCTTCCCCCTCACATACCTCCTGTAGGGGTGCAGCACGATCGCGCGCGGTCTCTCCTCCTCCCCTCCCCTCCTCCCCTTCCCTCCTCCCCTCCTCCCCTCCTCCCCTTCCCCCTCACATACCTCCTGTAGGGGTGCAGCACGATCGCGCGCGGTCTCTCCTCCTCCCCGCTCAGCACGAGACCGACGCTGCTGCCATCTAGGCGCGTGATGTTGATGGCGTTGTTCAGCGAACACGTCCAGAACATCTGGCGCGTGTGCGCGTCGATCGCAAAGTCGTACGGGTGCAGGTGCCCCACGGCGTTGTCCACGACGACCGTCGTCTGCCGGGGAGACGACGAAAACGTTACCACGGTTACCGTCGGTCGACAAGTTTGCATGCGCGAATTCTTGGGCCGCGCGCAAACGCAAACGGTAGATGATGTATAGAATAGAGAGGGTGTTACCGCGGTTACCGACAGAGTCGGTCGGCAAGTTTGCGTGCGCGAATTCTTAGGTTGTGCCCGCAAACTCGAACATGAGAGGACGTATAGAGTAACGAGAAATGTTGGTTGATGTTGATCCGCGAACACCCGCGGAAACCGCACGAAAGCTTTTAAATTTTATAATAAAATTCTAAATCGAATACCACGTCGTCACAGCGACGCCACCTTAAATTAACGAAGTGGATTAATCAAGTCGTAATTAAAACAACACGGTCGAGTCGCACGATCGCACGCAAAACGCCGAAAGGTTTTCACTCCCCAATCTCGCGCGCGACACCCCTCCCCCCATCCCCCTCCGCTCTCCCCACCGCAGTGGCGCCTCCTGCGCGCGCTCTCGCACCTGGCGGCCGCTGTCGTAGGCGCGGCGTATCTGCCGCGCGTTCGGCCGTCCGTCGATCCAGTAGAGGTAGAAGTCGACGGGGTCGTAGTCTACGGCGCGCACGTTGCGCAGGCCACGCACGGGGAGGACCATGTCCGGAGCGGCGTCGGACGGCACCGCGCGCTTGATCTCCGATCGCTGGCTGAAGAGCAGGAACGACGACGGAGCTGCAAGATAGAGAGAGACGTGTGAGAGAGAGGGGGGAAGGGGGGAGAGGGGGAGAGAGGGTGGAGAGAGGGGGAGGGGAGGGGAGGGGGAGAAGGGATAGGGGGAGAAGGGGGGAGAGAGATGAGGGGGGAGGGGGGAAAAGGGAAGAGGGGGGAGAGGGGGAGGGAGTAGGGAAAGAGGATGAGAGAGAGGGGAACTGTGGAGAAGGCGAGAGAGGGGAGAGAGGGAGAGCGAGGGAGAGGGAGAGAGGGTGCGAGAGGGAAAGAGATAGAAAGAGACAGAGAGAAAGGAGAGAGAGAGAGGGAGAAAGAGACACAGAGAGACAGAGAGGGAGAGTGCGAGCAAGAGACAGACAGAGACAGAGAGCGAGAGAAAGAGACAAACACACATAGAGAGAGATAGAGAGAGAGCGCAAGAGCGAGAAAGAGCACGTGAGAGAGAGAGAGAGTGAAAGAGAGAGTGAGAGAAAGAGAGACGTGACGTAACGTGACGTGAACGAGTCTGACACTCACGCTGGCACGGTGCGCAGGTCTGCGTTCAGCGGTGGTACGTGCATCGGGCAGGAGCAGTTTGTGGGCGCTGTCCGGCCCCGGCGACGGGTTCGCGAGGCACAGGTGCGAACATCCTCCGTTGTTCACCGCACAGATGTTCCAACCTGCAGCGAACAACGACCGAACGTTTGATACTACGAACAACTGTTAGACGTTAAAAAGTAACAACTAACGACGAATTACATTCGAGAGCAAATATCGATATTCGAATGACAAATATACGATAAGAACTACAGAATAATAAAAACTATGGAATGAAAATATTATAATAACAAGAGCACTCGGAGAGCGCAGACCTCCGCCAAGGCAGCTCAATTCTCTCACTGTGAAAATTTTTATTAATTAATTGGATCCGGATCACCACCAAAATGTAAATAAATCTAAGTTACCCCATTCTGACCTATCCTGAAGAATTTAATTAATTAATTTTAAATTTAATTAATTGGATCCGATCACCACCAAAGATCTGAATCAATTCTAAAGTTAGCCTAAAAAAAAATTTCCTGACCTATCCTGAAAGTTTTATGACAATCCGTCATAACTTTTCCAGTTAGGCTGTACACAACAATAACCCACAACCACAAAACACACGCCGAACAGAACACACGCCGGTGGAAAACATAAGCCTGCCTGCCAACCCCCTTGGCGGAGGTAATAAAGACGTAAATTATAACAACGCCGCGACAAAATATCCCCTCGAAAACAAATCCAACCGACAGTCTAGAGATATATTACGGATGACTCACCGGTCTGTCTGGACGAGTGGAACACCAGTATGTCGACGACGTAGTCTAGGCTGCCCTGTATGAGCGTGTTGGTTCGCTCCCGGTCGTCTTGTTCGCTCGCTCGATCCCCTTCGTGTGTCCAGTCCTATCCAGTAGATGAGTCCTGTACTCGCGTGAGCGTGTACGGGTGGTGGTTGCTGGAGATGTTCAACCGCCTCCTGTCGTTGCCTGCGCGCGCGGCGGTGGATGCAAGCGATCAGTCAGGGCCGCATGTAACAGGACAGACGACGCATCGCACGCAACACACGCACAGCACGCACGCAACGTATGCCATGCACGGTTACATGACAGACGGCAACAACACGCACGCCACGCACGCCACGCACGCAAACAGCACGCACGTAGTGCAATCACGTAACATGACAGACGCACGCAATCACGCACGCGACGCACGGCAACGCACTAGCAGTGTGACAGACGCACATAATTTTATTTATTTCTATTGTAGTCATACGCATGGTAAACGACTGGTGACATTATACCCACGTCACCCTATAGGTCACAACGTAGCATCACACCACGCCACACCACGTTACGACCTATCCAAGCTATACCACACCGCGCCACGCCATGACACGCCAGGCTATACAACACCGCGCCACGCCAGTTGACACCCAGGCCTCTACAAACCGTGCCACGCGATGAACACGCCAGCTATACAACACCGTGCACGGCCATGACACGCCAGCTATACCACACCGCGCCACGCCATGGCACGCCACGCCTATACCAACACCGCCACGCACCAATGACACGCCAGGCTATATCCACAACCGCGCCCACACCCATGGCACGCCACGCATACCACATACCGCGCCACGCCATGACACGCCAGGCTATTACCACACCTCGCCACGCCCATGTACACGCCAGGCTATACCATCACCGCGCCACGCCCATGGCCGCACCAGGCTATACCGACACCGCGCGCCTACGCCATGACACGCCAGGCTATACACACCGCGCCCATGCCATGACAACGCCAATGCTATACCCACACCGCGCGCACGCCAATGACCACGCCAGGCTATACCGACATCGCGCCACGCCATCACACCCGCGCAGGCTATTATCACACCGACTCACGCAGACGAACGCCCACGCTATACCACACCGCGCCACGCCAATGCCGCAACGGTCAGGCTATACTCACACCGGCGCCACGCCATGACACGCCAGGCTATACCACACCGCGCCACGCCATGACACGCCAGGCTATACCACACCGCGCCACGCCATGACACGCCACGCTATACCACACCGCGCCACGCGCCATGACACGCCAGGCTCTACCACACCGCGCCACCGCCATTTACACGCCAGCTATACCACACGCCACGCCATGACACCCAAGCTATACACACCGCGCTACCCATGAGCACGCCAGCTGATAACCCACACCGCACCAACGCCATGGCAATGCCAGGGCTATAGCGCACACCGCGCCACGCCATGACACGCCAGGTTTAATTGGAAATAACCACACCGGCGCCACGCCAGATGGCATCCAGGCTATACCACACCGCGCCACGCCATCGACACGCCATCTATAGACACACCGCGCCACAACCATTGGCATGCGCAGGCAAACCACACTGGCGCCACACCATGAGCAGCGCCAGCTATACACACCGTGGCCACGCTATTACCATCACCGCGCCAACGCCATGACACGCCGGAAGCTATACTTCACAACCGCCATCGCCATGACACGCCACGCTAATACCACGGCCGGCGCACGCCATGACAACGCCAGCTATACTAGCACCGCACCACCCATGACACACGGCTATGCACACGGTGCCACGCATACCACACCGCACCACGCCATGCCACGCCACGCTATACCACACCGCCCACGCCATTGGCCCAGCCAGGCTATACGCACACCCCTTACACGCCACGTCTAATACCGCCACCGCGCCACGCCATTGTACACTCCACGCTATACCACAGCCGCGCACCCATGATACACGCCAGGCTGATACTACACGCACCACGCCATGACACATCCAGGCTAACACACCGTGCCACCTATACCACACCGCGCCACGCCATGACACGCCACGCTATACAACACTGCACCACGCCATGACACGCCACGCTATACCACACCATGCCGCACCGTGCTTACCTTCGAGGTCCGAGTGTTCTATGCTGTCAGTGTCGAGGTCGGCCCAGTAGAGTCGCCGCGCGGCGTAGTCGATCGTGAGTCCGTTCGCTCGACCGGCGTTGCTCATGAGCACCAATCGCGCCGAGCCGTCCATGTTTGCTCGCTCGATCTTAGGCTTTGTGCCGCCCCAGTCCGACCAGTACATGTAGCTGTAAGGGCAGAGAGATAGCAGTACATGTAGCTGTAAGGAGAGAGAGATAGCAGTACATGTAGCTGTAAGGGGAGAGAGGGACCAGTACATGTAGCTGTAAGGGGAGAGAGATACCAGTACATGTAGCTGTAAGGGGAGAGAGATAGCNAGAGACCAGTACATGTAGCTGTAAGGAGAGAGAGACCAGTACATGTAGCTGTAAGGGGAGAGAGAGACCAGTACATGTAGCTGTAAGGAGAGAGAGACCAGTACATGTAGCTGTAAGGGGAGAGAGAGACCAGTACATGTAGCTGTAAGGAGAGAGAGAGAGACCAGTACATGTAGCTGTAAGGGGAGAGAGAGAGATGGGAGGTTAGATTGACCTAGTACATGTAGCTGTAAGGAGAGAGAGATAGCAGTACATGTAGCTGTAAGGGGAGAGAGATACCAGTACATGTAGCTGTAAGGGGAGAGAGATAGCAGTACATGTAGCTGTAAGGGGAGAGAGAGACCAGTACATGTAGCTGTAAGGGGAGAGAGACCAGTACGTAAGGAAGAGAGAGGTTAGGCTCTCTCTCTCTCTCTCTCTCTCTCTCTCTCTCTCTCTCTCTCTCTCTGCCTCCCTCCGTCCCTCCCCCTTTCCCCTTCTCCGTCACTCACCCCTATCTCAAGTCCAGCACAATCGAACGCAGGTTTCCCCCCTCCCTCCCTCTCTTTCCCCTTCTCCCGGATCGAGTGCGATCGAGCGAGCATTTTCCCCATCTCCCTCCCGCCCCTCCCCTTCTCCGTCAATCACCCCTCTCCCGGCTCGAGTACGATCGAGCGCGAATTTTCCACCTCTGCCTCCCTCCCCCTCACCTCCTCTCCCGTCACTCACCCCTCTCCCGGATCGAGCGCAATCGAGCGCGGATTCTCCCCCTCTCTCTCCCCTTCTCCGTCACTCACCCCTCTCCTGGATCGAGCGTGATGGAGCGCGGGTTCTCTCCCTTTCCCTCCCTCCCCTCTCCCTTTCCCCCATCACTCACCCCTCTCCTGGATCGAGCGTGATCGAGCGCGGGTTCTCCACCTCTCCCTCCCTCCTCTCTCCCTCTCTCCCATCACTCACCCCTCTTCTGGATCGAGCGTGATAGAGCGCGGGTTCTCCCCCTCCCCCTCCCTCCTCCTCCCCTCTCCCATCACTCACCCCTCTCCTGGATCGAGCGCGATCGAGCGCGGATTCTCCACCTCCCCCTCCCTCCTCCTCCCCTCTCCCATCACTCACCCCTCTCCTGGATCGAGCGCGATCGAGTGCGAATTCTCCCCCTCTCCCTCCCTCCTCCTCCCTCCCCTCTCCCCTCACTCACCCCTCTCCTGGATCGAGGATGATCGAGCGCGAATTCTCCATCTCCCTCCCTCCTCCCCCTCCCTTCTCCCATCACTCACCCCTCTCCCGGATCGAGCGCGATCGAGCGCGGATTCTCCAGGTCGTTCCAGACGAGGATGCGACGCGACGTTCCGTCCAGGCGTGCCACCTCGATGCGGTACGCGATCGTGTCCACCCAGTAGACGTTGCGCGCTACCCAGTCCACGGCCATGCCCTCCGGATACTCGAGGCCAAACTCAATGATGTGCTCGACGGACGACCCGTTCATGAATGCGCGGCTGATTTTCTGGCGAAAGACAAGAGAACGTGCGTTAGGAGGTTGTTGCCGTGGTCGTCGTGGAGATCGGTACAGGACGTGCGCTGTGGGTTTAGAACTTTGAAATTATGGTTCACTAGTTATAGTTATAGTGTAGTTCACTACTTTGCTACTAACTGTCGACAACTCGAGTCATAGATGTCAACGTCTGACGTTGTTTGTATAGTAGCACCAACGTGGATGTTGGCTTCATATAACCATCATCATCATCATCATCATCACCACCATCATCGTCATCATCATCATCACCATCACCATCAGCATCATCGTCATCATCATCATCACCA